CAGATAAACCTTCATTAGGTGCCACTAAAGAGAGATGGGAAGTGTTTGGTGGTATTAATGTTTTGAGTTGTACGTCACCCTGGCAGGTGAAACACATCCTCGTGTCTCTTAACACAGGATGGAAGCATTTCAAACGTGCCACATTTTATTCCAATAATTTACTACCAAAACTGTTACATGTACCTTTTTTTTTTAAAAGGACTAGCTGGTAGCTTCACTACGACAGTCCACTATTTTAAAAGTTGGAAAGACTCACAACATTTCAGTCTCATGGTCACCATTATGTGATTCACTAGCGTCAGGAATTGAATCAGAGACGTGTTATGTAAAATACGGGCGTGAAGTTTGTCTCTAACCACTGAGTCGTAGTAATGTTACATGCACTTTGAAATTTACCAAATCATAGAGTTAAAGCTTCATCAATCCATGGTCCAAATTAAACGAACGCTAGGGCAACTTTTCACCGGAAAATAAGGAGAAAAAAAAACACATGGGTGTGCCTGGTCATCTTGATTCTTGTCTTGCAAGGCCGGTATGACTCTTTTTTGTTATAATATTTGCAATCTTCCACTAAGTCCATTTATTTATCTAATTAGGGTTTTAAAGTTTTGAATGTGTTAAATCAAATAAATAATTCAAGTCCTAACTGATATGGTAGTATTTTATTTGGGGTGATAATCTAGAACATTACACGTTATAACTTGAAATCTATATAGATAAAAAATCTGTTATGTACACAACTGGACATAATTAACGCCGTTCAACTAATATTATATTCATAACACTACTTTTCTCATTTTGATCACGATAAATAATGAGTTAATGCATCATCATTTTTATATTGTTTTGCTATTGATTGAGGTAGATATGATCACAACACAGACGTAACGGTTAAAATCGAACACAATTCAAATTTGAACAAAATAATATATATGAATATCATTTATTTGCAACCAACAAGAGACTATCATATGTTTTTGTCAATTGAAAACTGTCGCTATGTGTCGCATGAACTGATATTTAGGTTGAGATAGTGCAAGAAGTGCATTCACTCCATTTAACCGAGATCCTAAGTTTAATTCTCCACTCTCTAACATTGCTTCCGTAGATACTTGAGAAATATCCATTCACTACTTGAGAAAACATATTGATTTTTATTTATGGAGTTATTTTTTGTGGATTGATGATGTGGAAATAGGTCATTGGCAAAACCCAAATGTGTTGGCTTCCATCAATTGGTTTGGAAGAGGATCCTCTCCTGATCCACTTTGTGGGGATCCTAGGGATTCTCACATCCTAACCGTTCATCGTATATCGTGCAATTAGTTTTTGTTAGGTACTATTTATGTTTAATTTTAAATAAAAAAAGTCAAATGATTTCTGGCCGTACGATACACGATGAATAATTAAAATGTGAGGATCCTTAGGATCCCCATAATTTAGATTCAGGATCCAAATCCAATTGGTTTAACATGGAACAATTGGAATTTGTCCCTTAGCTCAGAACCATTGCAATGATTAGTAGGTAATGCACCAAATAGAAATACGAGAGAGAGAGAGAGATGTGGTTGTTTTGTTGGAGTCATTTTTTAGTGCTAGAAAAACAGTTGTGTACTAAATATCATAGTACAAGTGGTTAAAAAAATAAATAAATAAATAAACTGCTTATATTATAACACGCACAAAATAGAAATATGAGAGAGAGATGTGGTTGTTTTGTTGGAGTCATTTTTTAGTGCGCCAGAAAAACAGTTGTGTACTAAATATCATAGTACAAGTGGTTAAATACAAAAAAAAAAAAATTAACTGCTTATATTATAACACGTGATATATTGTGCCACATTCTTAACACATTGAAAAAAATCTCTCGTTTTAACGACTCTTTCCATCATCTGAGCCATTATTATGTATTTTTCTATCAGATGATTTGGACCGACCTCCCAATGTAATGTGGCCTTGTTCGATCCACACTCCCTGCCTACCTTACAATTTTATCTTCCAACATGCTCTTTAGGTTTTCCTCTACTAATTTATTTTTCAAAGACCTCATCTACTAATTAATAACAATAATTCCTCCACATTTAATTGATTAGATTATCGTATACCCTAAAATATGTGTAAACACATTAAGGGGCCTGATTTCACAAATTGGAAGATAAACAATTGAAAAAATCAGATCCCTCCTACTAATTACACGCCAGAGAGCTTGTCTCCTTGTATGAGACAGACTTCATTACCAGAAAGTATGGTTTAATTACAATTACTATATAGTATTTGATTCAGTGCACAACACCTGAACCGGAAAATTTTAGAATAAAATAATGCATGTTATACATAATGTGATGACACCGGTTCAGTCTGTCCTTCCGTGTAGGTTTGACAAATGAATCGTGTTTATTGTGTTCGTATTGTTTTTGTGTCATATGCGTTATTTTAACAAGTTCTTAATAGATGATCCAATTATAACCCGATTTGTTAACAGGTCGTGTCGTTTCATGTCGGGTTAACATGTCATGCCCAATGTTTAGACCTGGCAAACAGTAACTTATGGGGTTCTAAACGAGTGACTGATAACAACATGACTTGTTAACGGACTTTTAACGGATGATCCAATAACAATCTGACTCGTTAATAAGTTAACTTAAAATTTGTTATTTTTGCGTCATTTGTGTCGGGTTAACGGATCATGCAAAAAAATTGTCAAAGCTCGTTAAATTGTAATGCAAGTAAGGTAGAAAGATTCTGAGACCATGACTATATATAGCCTTCTCAAGTTTAGCTAAAAACAATCTATCCGAGCATCGAATATAGGACCTCAATTGTAAAAATAACTGTTTTTAACGACTTGAACCATAAGTTCCTTGCGATTTGCTAATTCACTATACAATTTAATTCCTTTGCATCCTCCATAATATTCTTACTTATCCCCTTCTCTAAACTAATTGAAAAATTAGCCGATGCGGTTTCATTTGGTGTTCCCCACTAAATAAAATAATTTGATTGGGACTAAATAACTGAATCTCAAAGATGAAGCAAAAGATCTGTGAGTTGTGACTGCATAAGACAATAAACCCTTGATTGGTTTTGGTGCAGCCTTGCTCCCTAACATGGGTTTTCTTCAATTTATTATTAAAAATGTTTATCATTTAGTTTTTTTAATTATATTTTATCTCATTAATCGGTAATTAAATATGATGTTTTAATTTGACAAGCAAACTATATATCTGTTTGGTTTCGTCTGTCACGGGGGGATGTTTTTCTAAATTGTTAGGTCACTGACTCTGATACAATGTAGTAGCATTTCCAACCTGAATGAAACTTGCAGGTCAAGCCTCCATTTGGTTTCCTAAAACTATTTGTCTTGGGGAAATCATGAAACTTGAAGACTCCAACTTTTTGTCTTGGGGAAATCATGAAACTTGAAAACTACAACTCTTATAGATTAATTAGTAGAGTTCTTTTTGACAACTTTTAATGTTAGTGAAAGACACTTTAAGAATTAACTGTTAAAAAAACCATCACATCTTTAGTCTTATATCCTTAGGCATTGTCTATCGAATCTGAGTAGCTTCGTTTCTACCTCTGATCACCCATTTGGGATTTGGGATCTTGGTAAGAAAGTTCTCAAGTTAAGGCATCTTGGTAAGGAAGTTATGGAGTTAAGGATTGTTCTTGGGTACCTATTAAGACTCATTTAGTTTGATTTCACTTTACATCATCATTACCATTATCATCTCACATCTATGGTGATATCAAATTAAACGGGTCTTAACGAATACTCGTTGATAACCTAATGAGTTGTTTTGCCATCTCTACTTGTGATTGTGACAAGAAGTTATGAGAGTCTTATTTTGTGAAGAAAAATAAAGCCTAATCTGAGGTGCATAATTAAACATTAAGTTCATGTTTGAACCACTAGATTAGGATGAGGTTAGTACAAGTGGGTGCACAGAGCCAATTAGTGCAATGCACTAAATATTCAAAGGACAATAATGTTGGGAAGAAGATAAACATGGAATTTGGTGACAGAAACACGTTTTAAGCTGTCATTTTCTATGTATAATATCAGTAGGGCTTATTTGATATAATTTAATTAAACAAACATGGTCCTAATTAACCGATAACACTATCATCATGATTTGATCATGTCTGAAGAGCTTTTGTCAAAGATTGATTCCAACTAATAATAGTACTTATTTTTCTAGGTACCCACTAAGCAGGTGCCTAGTCCTAATTAAGTGATCAAACTTTCATCATTTGATCAAATGTAGACAGGTGCGCACGGGTGCCTATGTCTTGGTGAGCAAGCCATCCTTTGCTTGTCCCAAGAACCATAATCATGGTGTTTTGTGTTAAACTAATGACAACAATTTACAACCAAGCAAAGGCTAAGACAAATCGCCTCAACCGTTGATTTGCTTGAGTTCAAATGCATCAACGACTGCCTGTCTACCCACAGGGGTCACACACTCATTGATGGTCACGGGCAGATCCATCTTGGGGCAAGGTGGGTCTACTGACCCTCCCTCCAAACCAATTCTCAACAGAAGAGTTGGAGTTGGGTGTTGCCTTTTGAAAATTTGGGACGTCCTTAAAAGTTTCCCTCCAATTGCTTGATGGATTGCCTTTATGAGCACTGGACAGGATAGTTGCTAGTTGCATGACTTTGTATGCATTGCTATGGGCATCTTTTGATAGACTCACTAGAGATATATTGGCATTTGTCGATATGCTTGCTTAAAAGCTATTGACATCAATCGACGTGCTAGCTCGGAAGCTGTTGGCATATGTCGATAGGCGTGCGTGGAATATGACTTGGCAAATGACCTAAGGCCTACCAAGGCTCAAAAAATGCCAATTTGCATGCTATTCCATCCAAAAAAATTTGCACAGTGCCCACGCTATTCTTATTGATCTCTCCAACAATATTCCCTGAATCCGCCACTGTGGATGGTCGGTTGTTTAGTTAGAAGCAAAACCCTTAACAACAATATTGATAATGCTGTACAAGAAGAAACACAATTAGGGATCTCCCTAATTTTTATTACCGTAATTTGGCTATGATCAATGATAATCTCTCCAACTTGAACAAATAAGTACAACGTTTTGGTAACTACAGCTGCCGTGTGTAATTTGGTGTCGTATTTTCACGTGAACAAATGGTTGTAGGAAGAAATTATACAAGATCTGTACAAAATATTGATGTCAGCGCGCATCCGGTAGTTGTAAGCTGCTTGTTGAAGTTTTCGGCTTTACAACGTGTGCCAGTGTTATTTCTTCTGGGTTGGATCCTGGAATTTCCTCGCGAAATGGAACTTCGAATAATAACGATTGGTATAAGCATACCTCATCTTCCTTGCAATAGTAAACCTGCAAGACAAGCAAAGTTTGATTTAGTTCACGATTGTTGAAACAGCTCGTAGAATTCGATCTTTTTGGCAGACATGATTAGTTTGTACGCGAAAAATAAGTGATACCTTGCAATTTATTCTCCCCATTGAAGCTGAGGGAGATGCTCTCTTGAAATGAAGAGTTGCTGATCCTTCGGGACTAAGATATCCATCAACGGGCTCAATGGAAACCGCAGTTTCAGGATCAGTTTCAACGCTAAACTTACTGCGAGCTTCCTGCAGTTAAAATTATGCGTGACAAAAACGGAAAGCCATGCAACGCCGGAGAATTTGATAAATAGATGATAAACCAATGCAAAACAGAACTGCTAAATTGGAAGCTATAAGTATGTGTTCTTTGATATGAAGAGAAGGATGGAGACCTTTGAAAAATGATACCCTTCAGGTACTGATATTTTAATAGACAGGTTGCCCTCGCTCGATGGGCCGCCATCAACTGTAATGGTCTGCGTGTCAGCTGATGATCGCCTTCTGAGGCGTTTCAAAGACTTGGATTTTGCTACGGGAGGCTGAACCCCTTTCAGCTCCAAAGTAAGAAGTTCAGCTTCTTCCCTGTTTAAGTCTAGATATCTGATTAGACTGTTGTTTGTATCAGCTACGAAAATTCTTCCTGTAAAAATTAAGAGAAAAACTTAAACCGCAGCTTGTTACTGATAAGAAAGAATATAATGGAATCTCATATTTACAAGATTCCAATGTAATTTCGAATGATGCTGAATTTTAAGTGGCATGTGCATTTATAAAGAGGCATCACCGTTTTTTGATTCAACGATTCCTGATGGCTCTGAAAGCTGCCAGAAGATAACCGCTTATCAGCAAAATGAATCAATAAGGTGAACCTACTCCCTATTTTCTAGGATAATTTAACTTCCTGGAAGAATATACGTGCTAAATTTCTATACAGCGCATTTTTTACTAACATCTGCACCGTTACCATCCAAAAGAATTCGTTAAATGAAAACCAACATAATTTCGAACCTGAGCTTCTAGAGATGTTCCGTCCTTGAAGCCAGCTTTTCCTGTCCCTGCTACGGTACTCACTCTTTTAGCAGCTGGATCTAGTTTCTTTATCTGGAGTTTGGAAAGAGATAAGTTAATATTTGAACCAAAACTGCTACAAGCTATCACAAAATCTCTCAAGATGAACTTTACGTAAAAATCAAATTGATGCTTTCGACTCAAAAGCACATGTTACATCTCAGAATGGTTACTGTCGGTCATGATCTAACTACCTTGTGATTGTAACTATCTGCTATATAAACTTCACCATTCTTTGCACATAAGACTCCTAGGGGGTGTTGAAGAAGTACTTCAGACCCTATTCCATCGTGGTCACCAAACTGTACAGAATTACGTCATAAGAATATTATACGAATGTGGATGCAGTGGATGAAGAAGGGAAAAACCATTAGCTAAGATCACCTTAAACAAATTTTCCGCAAAATATGGATCACCACCAGCTAGCAATTTCGACCCTCCTGTTTTTAAATCAAGTGCCCTAATGGAGCTACTCTCACTATCAGCAATATATAGCTCCCTGAGATCTACAACCCAAAAAAGAGTTTAGAATCTGCGAAAGGCCGTATAATTTCCTTATATGATGTCAAAAGAAATGAACTGTGGCATAATATTGCAACACATTACCAAGAGATAATGAAATTCCAGAAGGCTGTGCGAACGATGTGCTTGAAGAGCTATGCGAATCACAAAAAAATACAAATAAGAATGAGTGTGTCAAGTCTGTAAGTACTACTATCGGATAAAGGTTCATTATGTCATTGAGCTTCTTCACTTTATCTATTACCTTGATCCATTCAAGTTTCTTTCGTAACCATCACCACTAAATGATCTAGTAGCTCCATCATCTGTACTGTGTTCCCAGATTTGATGTGAGCCAGCCATGGCAATATAAACTTTCTCATTGACTGGATGAAAGCACACGTCCCATGGTGAGTTGAGGAGCTGAAAGAATGTAGCTACAAATTTATTAACAGAGTATCGATGTTAAACCAAGATTCATGGTCCAGTTTAGCTGGTAATCTTGCCTGAGTACTTCCTTTCCCTCCCCCTTGGTAGTCAGAGCCTTTGGTTCCATTTCCAGCAAGAGTACGGACTGTCTCATTAACAAAATCAATCTCCCTACAATAACAGAAGCTAGATTATGACATGATCACTCATAGAATGTCAAAATAATTATAATTTAATGTCGTATGGTAGAAGGGGGGATCAAGCTGGTGAAACAAAACTAGAAATAGTAAAATGAACAAGGGGCCACCATGTACCTCAAAGCATGGTTTTCAGTATCTGCAACATAGAGGAGGTTTTTCCTTGGGTTGTAGGCTAGGCCCTAGTAAAGCACATGACCAAAGGTTATGTGCAACAGCCAATATTCAACATGAAACTTGAGATGAAACAACTCAGAATGCAAGCATGACATGCTCCTAAAGACAGTTTATTTTCTGACCTGAGGCCGATTGAAGGTGGCATCATCGAATGAACCATCACGCAAACCTTCCTCTCCACTACTTCCTATTTGGACAATAAATTTTCCATCTAGGTCGGTTACCACCTGAAATCCATGCACAACAAGATGGTTAGAAAAGAATCCAATACACAATTACACATTGAATTTCTGCTAGCACAAATTAGTGGGAGAGGTCTTAAAATTATTGTCAATAGGAAAGCGAAACGGTTTGGGTACCCCCACTGAACCACAGACATGAGGTATACTCTTCAATTAGGATCTCCACTGAAGAGAACCTATGTCAAGGAGCTCAGAAGCTATATTATGTGAATTTATCAATATATTATCGTACTTTTCTTTACACACACAGAGAGAGAGAGAGAGAGAGAAAGCTTACTATGCGGTTATGATTACTGTCTGAAATGAAGAGCCTATCATTTAGAACATCAATTGCAAGCTTTCCTGGAAACTTTAGCGGGGATGTAACTAAACGAGGATCATTATCTTTCTCCAAATTTAAAGGAATCGGTGCATTGTCCAACATCTTCTTTCTGCCATAAAACAAAAGAGCTGCCTCTACCAAACAGTCAAGATCCTTCCAAAAAAAAATAAAAAGAATACGTTTTATTCATTGACCAATTACTAATGAGAAATCCATCAAATTAAGTGCGAACAGCTTGGAAATACAACAAATATGAAATAACAGTCCTGAAATGAAAGAAAAAAAAATCAAAGTTTGTTATCAGTACCTTGCGGCGACCTTCACCTGACAGTTGTGCAAGGAGCCTACCATTGGGTCCAACAATAGCAAATGTTGGCCAAGAATTGATACCTAGTTCTCGCCATAGATACATATCTCCATCATTGACAACCTGAAACAGTAAAAGGTATAAAAGATATAGCGGTGGATAGACTTCACTATGCAATTAAAGATTAAATAAACAAATTATATCAGAAGTGCAGAATGTTATTTGCCACTACTATGGTTGAGAAGCAGGAAATTCAATCAAACTCATAAATTCTGATCGACAGCATAACCCTGTCCAAAGGCGCTGACATGTTATGCATGGCAACACATTATTCAATATTCATGTTCTCCACTACACATTAAACCAAGATAATAATAGCTTCCGGCTGTAGATAGCAGTTGAAATTACTTTGGCACTTTATAAGCTGAATACATGGCCAAGCACTACCAAAGGACTCAGTCAGAGTACTAGAACACCCAAATAAAATGAGAAATTTATTTCTACATAAGTACAATTCACAAAGCATGAAGCTTACTGGGTGAGTGATGCCATAGCGCAACACTGCATTGCGAATGGCTTCTAAATCCTTCTCATTATCAAACTTTGCAGAATGGACTCCCACAACAGTGAACTGCACAAGAATGAGAACAAACATATCATCAACCCGTGAGGCAATAGTATATAATTCCACCAAGCCAGGTAAACATAATTGAACATTTTGAAATATAAGACTTAATTTATCACAACAAGCAATATGATGAAGGCAGAAGCCTGTAACATAATAAATTTGAGGCGACCGAGAATTGGGAAATTTGAAAGAGAAGGGAAAAAAATATTACCGGCATATCTTTGTATTTTTTCTCCAGAAACTCTAGATCCGGCAGTACATGCATACAGTTTATACAACAATAGGTCCAAAAATCTAGCAGAACAACTTTTCCTTTCAGATCCTGCCAAAAGTAGTTGTCAAAACTAAACCTATGCAGTAAATCTTGGTTTAACCATTTAGAAGTTCAAGCTGTATACAAATTACCCTGCTAAGCGTAATGGGAGCTGTATTCAACCAATCAAGTTTTGCCGGAAATTCTGGCACGATAGGAGCAGTTCCTCTTGCAAAGTAAAAAGACCATTCATTCAAGCAGGCTATACGTGTATTTATGTAAAGTAACAACAATGATATAGGAATATGAATATGAAGACAGCAACAAATACAAATTACATAAAAAAAAGGTTGGGCAGTGAAATCCTTATTTACCTGGTTTCCAGGTCAGATATGTAGTTCACAAATTGTTGGATTCTTTCAGATCTTGATTCACCTACAAAATAATTCACAGATGAAAAGAAATTTGTGACTTTCATTTCAGCTGTATCTAAGAATTCATAAGTATTTGGGAATAGATGGGAAAACAAAATCAAAAGAAAATTTAGCAGATAAAGGAATATACCAACACCAGAGGTGTGACATCAATACCTTCCTTCTGTTTAAGAGATGGCTGGTTAATCCCAAATATCACATTCCAAATAGCTTGAGGTGACGTATATTGCATTGCCTGTGGAGGATCTCAATAGGATGTATAAATTATGGAAGCTAGAAAATAAAGAAGAGGAAAAGATTAAGAATCTAAGATGTCATCTATTAATGTTAATGGTCACTTGAAAATTACTCTCGTCAAGAATTCTCCTCTTTTGAGTTATACCTTCCAGTTTGAGATGGCGAAGGCAAGACAAGACAAAGAAATCCCCAAGCTTCCATATCTCACTATATCTCGCCGAAGAACCCTGCAACCTGTTCATAAATTATTCTGTCGCCTCAAGCTAAGGGGGTGCAATATGCTGTCTGTTTAATCGAAAAATGCAACTGTGTGAAAATTATTCTCATGTTAACAGGTTACACAGCCCAATAACACATGACACACAGATGTGTAAAATAAAATTGGCACAAACATGCCTTAGGCTGTTTCTAGAAGATTGATTGTTGGGTAAAATGTAAAGTTTGATAACTTTGATTAATAGGTTGAAATATACACAATAAAAAAATAGATGCTGCAAAAAAAGAAATAGGTTATTTAATCAAAACAGTACTTCAAATGTTGTAATTAGAGAGTCCTTCTTACCTTCCATCTGAGAAAACCCCACCATTGGAAGCACCAGTTTTCTGTATTAACTCAGAATTTATTTCTGTGACCTTTTCTGTTGTGTTTTGAGATGACATATAAGAAACTTGAGGTCCCTGAATCGTCCCATCTGCAGTGGCGTATCAACATAAGACCTTATGTTCCAGAAGATATAAAAAGTGAAAGATTAGTCTGCACACAAAAATGCTAGGAGAATGGCGTTATAAGCTTATGAGATACTGTCTTAATGGAACAAGAAACCAGACTATAGATTATTTAGATCAAAAGGGTGCATTGAAAATAATTGAGAAGGAGTTTCAATACAGAGGATGCTGCTCACAAGAAAATAGGTCTTATAATATTCCTTAAAAATTGGCACTAGTGTAGCTTTAATATTCTACATTCTTGATGGTACAAAAGGCATTTGAATCATATTCTCAAAACTACATACTATAGCCAGAGCCACCACCGAGAATATCATCAAGGGAAATATTTCCTATTTCTTTTCGGATTAGGGATGGACCAGCAGCCTTCAGCTCCGCCTCTGATAAAGTAGTTTTGACTGCTATGCATCTACAAGTGGCAGAACAAGATTAGCAGTTTGCAAAACTATAATCTGTAGTTCTAAGTATTCAAAAATTAAAACAAATGATTAGTGTAATTGGCACAGGAATAAAAAGAACAGATCCGACTTCATGTGCTGATTCACGTGATTCATTCCCCACAATATATATATATATATATATATATATATATATATATATATATATATATATTGGATAAAATATGAAACTTTTGCAATTTTACTTCATTTTGGCAGCTTTGGCGGCCTGCACTCCAGCTAATGCATCTTCAATAACAATACACTGCCAAGACATAGGCAGGCATATAACACCATAAGAACATGGAAATGGAAATCGAAACAACCAAACTGAAACACCATAAGAACATGAAAATGACATCTTCAAATTTCTCCTATTTTGCTCAAAAGAAATCTTCTTTTAAAGAAAATGGCAGAATCTTCTGAACCTCACTAGTCGGGACATCCAAGATTTTGGATGCAGCCAAGAAGATATCAGGAGCAGGTTTCAGTTTCTCAAAAGCATCTGCTGACACAATAGCATCAAACCTGAAAAAAAGGACAACAAAATAAATGGAGTGACAAAAATCAGTGATCTACAAAAATGAAAATTGTATATGCTATCCCACAACTATAAACTTGAGAAGCACAGCATATGACCAGATGGGTTTACATTGACAACGGTAGATTTGCAGCAGCTAGGTTTGCATTAACCTTGATTCGATCAGCACTAGATGCAACAGCAACTTTAAGGCCTTTTTCTTTACACTGTTTTATAGCAGAGAATACCATCAAGAATCACTAAATGAAGTAGCAGAACTGTAATATCTTTTCAGTTATGCGTAGTGTCCTCAATACCTGAGTAATAAGTTCAAGGGCACCTGGAAATCCTATTCCAGAATTTGGTTTTGCATACTACAAGAAATAGAACATTTCGTCGCGGTTATTGCAACTTAAATGATTCAAAATTAGTGTTATAAGAAGATAGACTCTAACAAGAATCATTAACCTTATCCAAATATATCTCAAAGAACCTCTTCTTCGCTGCCTCAGGATCGAATCCCTTTACCCCCTTAACGGAAGCAACACCTCCTAAGAAGTTCGCTTCTCCTAGTACATTGATGCAAAACGGAAACCAACTTTAGGAAAAAGAATATCTTTTTCACAACAAAAATGCACATCGATTTTGTTCCAATTAACTCACACAATAGTTAAATAACAACAGGGATCTTAACATCTCCTTAGAAGCGCTGGACGAAATTTGGTTTATGTATTCAAACTGAGTACGAGATAACTTAAATAATTTTAAAATTCCAAATTTGAGGGGAGAATCTACTGTACTTTCGATTACAGATTATTCAACTTGCAACTACAAAATTCACAACCACAATTCTTTGGTTTTCTTTGCAATTTTACCATCCCAAAGTCAAATGTACAAAACAAACACTGTAAGAAATACTTCATGTCAAGAATCCATAGCAGTAAGAAAGAAATATTGAATTTTTACCAGTTCCCATGAATGGCACAAAGTCCTCCACCGTGACCTGCACCCCCATCTCGGCGAAAACGTCGACTGCGGCCAATCGAGACGGCTCTTCGCTGTCGCAGAGAACTCCATCCATGTCAAACAGCACAGCAGACACTTTCCCCCACTCACTTCCCGATGATTCTTGCACATTTTTCTCCTCCACTTTCACACCAGCTTTCACAACCATTTTCTTCGAGAAGTCGAACCGTTTCGGCCTCCACTGGAAGAGTCGGGTCGAGACTGAAATGGGTTTGAATCCTTTCGAGCTGCCGTATAAAGAGCAGAGCTTGGTGGGCTGTGAGAGAGAAGTGGGTGGCGATAGTAGTTTCATGGCCATGGAGGTTTTTGAGTTGAGAGCTCACAGCCAACTGTTCTGTTTGCGTGTGGCGGGGAAGGGGATTTTGTTATGTATTGTAGCATTATGACGCGAATGCCCTTGGTTTTGCATAACTGTACGTGGGAATAAGTATGGGTTTCTGGTCATTTTCCATGGTGATTTAAAGGGATGTCCGACGAGATCGAAATTGTTTTTAGTGGTGGAGAAATTGGATCACATTCAATTTATTATCCACTTCTTCAAGTATCCCCTCATTCACATCTTCGATTTTCTTTTTCTAAAAAAAATAAAAAAATCAATTAAAACGAGAAACTTTGCGAACACTTAATATGGTTACAATCAAATAAAAGAGCAGTTGTAGCGTGCGAAGATAAGCTTACATTAGTTATGACATCAACAACAAAGTTCACTTTCCAATAAATATTCTTATAGGTTAATGTATCTGTAACAAAATTAGCTTCAAGAAAAATATGGCAAAAGAAAAGGTACTGAAATGTGCAAGTTAATCTTTAGATGTTGTGAATAACGTTTGGCGGATTCACAATTAATAGCATCGATAAGAATCTAGGAGTCTCATTCCATCTTCAAGTTCAATTATCCTTTGGACAGAGCAACTTGGGAAGAGGGGTCATGTTATTATCAAACTTTTACATTTTTAACAAGCTACTTTAATAAAATAAAAAAATAAAAATTGAATTTCGAAATAATGAAGTGGTTTTTGACGGGAATCCGTTGTTTGATCTTTGAGCAAAGTAAAGGATGACAAGTTAAACCTAGTAGCGTGAGCTTATGATTAAGTAGGGCATTAAAGTACTCCGTAGCAGTAAAATCAGAGCCAGTTGGGTAAAGGTACTTGAAATCTATTTGCAAACGCCCTATGTTACTTGGGTCAGTAGATCACCCCAATCTCTACGTTTGGGTAGCGAACCAACAAAGGATGGCAAGGAAATCCAAATTTTGAGTTGAAATGTTCATTGAAATCAGCGTAGGAAAAGGCTTTAGGCTTCAACCGATCTTTAATCTCTTGTGTATACATATATTTGCTTTGATCATGAGCCGTAAGACCTCAGTTACCAAAAATCCTTACATGAACACCTTCCATTTCTAAAATGATGATACCGCATCCGGTCCCTAACGATCACATCCCTTTCGTATACTTTTGAGAAGATCTTTACTGCAGAATGGCAATCCTCACAGATCCTCAAGTTCTTCGTGACGCGAATGGCTGTTCCGGGTTTTGTGTTGAGGACTCCGAAAGCAATGGCAAGCTTTTCACTGTGGTACTGCAGTGCAGTTTCCTTCTCCTCCTCTGCAATGTCAAACAAGACTTGTGAGCTACTCGGCGAATAACCCTCCGTCTGCAGCTTCTCTATGATCCTTTCCAGCGTCGAATAGACCTCCTTAGTACTCGGGTGTGATCCGTCTCCCACTTTGAATTCATGAACAATGCCACCAATGTCGACCATGCTAATCCCTCGACTCGTCTTAACCCCTCTCTCCTTCATCAAAGCTCTTACTTTTGCAGCATCATCAAACCTGCCTGCCTTCGCGTAAATGTTCGATAACAACGTGTAGCGACCGCTGTTTTGAGGCTCCAATTCGAGCAAAATCTTTCCTACTCTCTCTCCCATTTCGACATTTCCATGTATCCTGCAAGCGCCTAATAACGCCCCCCAAACTGCTGCATTGGGTTCGATTGGCATCAAGTTTATGAGCTGCTCTGCCTCTTCCAATTTCCCTGCCCTTCCAAACATATCAACCACACACCCGTAGTGCTCCACCTCAGGCTCAATGCCATAAAATCTCTTCATAGAACTGAAGATTTCAAGACCTTTCTCGACAAAACCCGAATGAGCACAAGCATTTAAGGCATTCAAAAATGTAATTCCATTTGGTTCCAACTTACGCATCTGCATCTTGGCGAAAAGCTCAATTGCATCCTCTGCTCGCCCGTGCATAGCAAGCGCTCCAATCATGGCATTCCATGTCGAAATCTCTTTCTGTTTGACATTTTCAAACACCTCCCACGCCATGTCAATCCGCCCGCATTTTGCATACATGTCAAGCAAAGCAGTCCCAAGAACCGCATCCAGTTGAATATTGTTCTTCTTGATGTGAGCATGAATCCATTTTCCTTGATCAAGTGCTCCCACATTAGCACAAGCAGATAGCACACTTGACAACACGAATTTTTTCGGACTAATTAAGTTCTCCTTTTGCATATCATTGAATATTTCCAATGCCTCCTTGTGAAACCCTCCTTGTATGTAGCCATCAATCATAGCACTCCAAGATATCTCGTCCCTTTCGCTCATGCCGTCAAACAACTCCCTCGCCTCTTCAATCCTGCCACACCTAGCAAGACCACTCACCATTGCATTCCAAGAACCGATGTTTTTACTCGGCATATGCTTATAAAACAGTTCTTTAGCTGCCTCCACATCTCCACATTTCATGTAACCATCTATCATCGCGTTCCAACAAACAACATCGTTCGCTTCCCCACCCTCATCGAGCATTATCCTTGCCTCCTCCACGAGCCCAAAAGACGCGTACATTTGAATCCCAGCGCTCCTTATGTGCCCATCTTCACCAAACTGATTTTTAACAACATGCGCGTGGATTTGCAGGCCTTCCTCCACCGCTTGAGCCAACGTGCAGGCTTTGAACAACATGGAATACGTGAACTTATTAGGCCTGGCATTCATATCCACCATCTTACAATAATATGACACACAACTGAATGCCTCATTGTGCTCTAGGCACCCTTTGATCACAATATTCCACACAAACACATTCGGCCTCCACACGCAATCGAAGACCTTCAACGCAAGCCCGAAGTTGTTGCTTGCGTAGCATTTCACGACAGCCCCCGCCACGTAATGGTCTTGGAAGTGGCCTGACCTCAGGGCAACACCATGAGCTTGCTTGAGACGTTGCAGCGAAGTTGCGCATTTCGTGTTTACGATGTGTAAGATTGTTTTCTGGGAGAGCTTGGGGGTGGGAGATTTGATATCTTCTGTGGATTCATTTGGTTTGATGTTGTGAGGAAGATTTGTGGTGCTGGATGTGCTCATCTTTTTGCTCTCATAGGCTGTGCTATCCAGTGTCTTGGCTAGTAGGTGCGGATTGCAGAATGCAGAGTCTTGCTGCGGATAATGTCGTGTCGTTTTGTATCTTTTCTTTTTTGAAGATACGACATGTCGTATTATTACAAGTGACAAAGGTGACAAAACTTTCCAAATCTCTTAGGAATTTGCTAGGGTTTGTTTGTATGCAAGAAATAAAAAAATTTGAAACGTGGTAAAAACAAAAAGAGAAATGTGTTTACCTTCGCAGAAGAGAGGTAGTTCTTCCCTGTTCTGTTATGGTGATGGTGGTTAACTAAATTACTAGGGCTAGTAGGAAACCGGTCGTCTCTCTGTCTATATAAATAGTGTGACAATGAATTGTACTAAAATTTCGATGTCCTAAATTAAACGTAGTCTATTCAAGTTAGAGATCGTAGTTCAGAGATTGTTCTGAAGTTTCTTTACACCAAAGGAAGGGCCTGAGGATACATTTTCGGACCCCGTTTGCAGCTGCCTCACCACCAAAAATATAAAAACTGCCACATTTCCATCAGGGGATCATATTTACAAAATAAACAAGACAAGACCTACTAGGTTATAATTGATGATGACATACAGCATCCGCCCTTCACCGGAATATAAAGCGTCTTCGACTTCAAAGGCAACCCCCGACGGAAACTCTAGACTTCCTTCGTTTGCTTAGTGAACCACATTATCTTCTGGTTAGTTAAGTGGCAGTCCCTATTGAGCGAAGGCTTTTTCTCCCTCTCTGCATTTTGCATGCCCTGGTTTTCCTCATCAGCAGTCACTTCTTGAGCCAGTCGTTTTCCGTTAACCTTCTTACTTGCCTCAATGTATGGCTGCACGGAAAACAAATAAACAAGCGTATAAACATTCGGAGGGAAGACATCGATTTAAGAAAGAATTATCAACAATCAACTTGTATTCTAAAATTCATGCCACTTAAAATTCCCGATGCTTGGTAAATTCTTGATTGTCCGCTAATTGGAAATGGTATTTCAACGCTCTATGTCATGTGTGGAAGTAGTTTAATGCAAAAATTTGAGATTCATGAACCTATCGTTATAGATACTGACTTCATAGTTTGAAAGCTTCAATAATTAACTAAATTAAACATGGACCGTGTACAAGTTGAGTTATTCTACCAGTTTCTCAGTCTCAGAGAAGGATCTCCATGCATTGTCTGCCATGGCTCGGAAATTTTGACCCTTCAGTTTCCCTGCATCAGTACTTTTCAGCCTTTCGCATTCTTTCCTGAGGTAGATATGATAACCACTTTGTGCCCCTCGAGGAGCGCCACAACGCTTTTTCATCTCTTTTCTCTTTGAACTTAGCTGGGGGAATAGTTTCTGTTCTGAAGATGTTGAACCTAATCGAATTTGCAAAACAAGGGGCTCTGAATAAGTTGAATGAATCACGAAATAGCCTATATTTACATTCTTGTTATATCATAAACAAAAGCAATTAACACCATGACCTACTCGGTTCCTTCATAAGTTTGACAACTACTAGATGTACAATTCCAACATCTAATGTTTTAGTTTGCTGAATTTAATCTACCAAGTAAGCAACGGCGACATACCTATCAGTGTTGGTTGAAAGTCCTTTTTGGGCATCTTCTTCTCTGCAAGAGCATTTTCAAGATTCGGTAACATCTGACATGAATTATCACTGCACTGCCCTTCCATTGCTGAGCTATCCCCAATACTATAAATACCATGACCTGAAATTGTTTATCCTAATAAGAAAAATAAAGGCATACTAAAAACATATTCTAAACTTGCATTTCTCTAGAGTTGTTTAATATAAATTTGCGGTCTAGAAGGTTCGGCTAGCTTTCAGAGTAGCTTCTCTACCTAGAGTAGAAGCAGCTTTCGCATGGGGTTCCCTGTAGTAGTAAAGTTGCTCATACTGGTAAAGAAAGAGCGCGTAAAGCTTCAACAGAGGTTGAGGATCCTGCAGATT